ATCTTCAGAGAGAGAGGGAGGAAGAGAGAGAGCGAGAGAGAGAAACATCGATGTGAGAGACACTGAGTGATCGCCACCCACACAGCCCCAACTGGGGCGGGAGACAAACTGCAACCGAGATATGTCCCCTAAGCGGGAACCAACCTGGGACTCTCCGGTCCACGGGCAAACACTCTAACTGCTGAGCCAAACCGGCCAGGGCCTGGATTGTTTTTAAAATAAAAATGAAATCACATTGAAATTTCCTATTTTTTCATCCTACCTCATAACACTATAAGCTCTTCAAGAGTGTGTTCCCAGCCCTGGCTGGTTTGGCTCAGTGGTTGTAGCGTTCGGCCTGTGGACTAGAGAGTCCCGGTTTCTGTTCCCGCTAGGGGCATGTACCAAAAAAAAAAAAAAAAAACGAGTGTGCCCCCCAGATCTACCATAGGTAGAGATGCTGAGATTCTCAAAATGTGTTTCAATTAACTTTCACTTATGAAGTGCCAAAGTTTGGGAATAGTCTATTTTTTTATATGTTTAGGAAAATTCCAAAATTTCTCTAATAGCACTATTCACTTACTGGTAAAATTTCTTCAGTGAGAGAGAAAGGAATGGTTGTTCAGCTGGGAATGTCAACATATTTTACATATGGCTCAACTAATAATCTGATAGAATATGTCATGGTTGCTTGCTCCTCTGGCCATTGAACAGAAAGGCATAGACCCACTGAAAGGAGCAGTTACAATAAGACTTGTATGGTCTCCTCTTTTGTATGCCATTGCCATATTAGTGTGAATGAGGTTGCTTTTAAATACAGCAAACTGCCCCTGAGTTATTACAGAATGTCTCAGCCTTTATGTTGCTTTCACCTCCAGAAGAGCCATTTTGGATTTTTTTTTTCCTTAGCCACCTTCCATGAAATTTTAATCCCACAGATATACTGTGTATATTTTTACTTTATACATACAAAAATTAAAATTTTCCAAGAACCAAATTTGCCACCTTGGAGACAGTATTGTGCCCCATATTGAGAATAATGTTCTACTCTGAAGTTAAATGGACTAAAATTAGAAATTGTACTCTTATCAGTATTTCAGAAACAAAGAGCAAACAGACTTTACTAACAAATAAATTTGTTACACTATTTTAATATTGATTTTTTATTCCCTTTCAAGTGATAAAGATATTTTGAATCACTGTCTCTTTCCAGGTCCTAGAAGATGTGACTGGTGAAGAATTTGTCCTGTTCATGAAGATACTATCTGGGTTAAAGAGCTTACAGACAGTGAGTGGAAGACAGCAACTTGTAGAGTTGGTGGCTGAACAGGCTGACCTGGAACAAACCTTCAACCCGTCAGATCCCGACTGTGTGGACAGGCTCTTACAGTGCACTCGGCAGGCGGTACCCCTCTTCTCTGTGAGCTCTTTGTTTTACGTAGCTGGTGTTTTTGTTACTCTGTTAGCTTATATTTTTATAGATATTCACTTGAGCATTCTCCCCAAACCTTTGCATAAAAGTAGTAACATAGAGGAATCAATATTTAGTTTATGGGGGCTTGGATAGGGTTGATGAGAGGCCAAAACAGCAAGAAATTTCTTTGAAGTCTTTCTAAGAGACTTTTAAAGTCTTGAATTTTGCATGATAATCTATAATTTGGCTGAGATTCCTGCTTTAGTAATTTGACTGTCTCTCTTTCTTAAAGTTTCTAAAAGATTGTTGTTCTAGGTATATATGCTCTTTATTTCTGGCTTTGTGTTCTCTCTCACCATGAGTGTTCTGGGATGTGCATACTATAGTTTGAAAAAAAGTTTAAAGGATCTATCCTTTGTGATAAATGTACAATCTGAAATTCAACACTAAAATTTTCCCCAAAATTTGACCTAAGAATGGAACAGTTGTTTGGAGCATCATCCCATACACCAAACAGCTACGAGTTCAATTCCCGAGTAGGGCACATACCTAGGTTGCAGGTTTAATCCCTGATAAGGGAGCATACTGGAGTCAACCGATCGATGTTTCTCTCTCTTTCTCTTCCTGCCACTCTCTCAAAATAGAAAAAGATGTATAGAGGTTATTTCTGGGGTGTGTACTATATATTATATTTATAGCCACGGCACTTTATGCTGTGGTGCTCAGTTAGCATTTGTGGATGACATTCTATTATATTTGAGAAAAAATGTCTCCTTTTTTTTTTCTCCACAACTCTGTTTTTTGGACTATTACAGAAAAATGTGCATTCCACAAGGTTTGTGACTTACTTCTGTGAGCAGGTTCTCCCTAACCTCAGCTCCTTGACTACTCCAGTGGAAGGTCTTGATATACAGTTGGAGGTAAGAAAATTTCTTTTAGTACTGAAAAGCCATTCTCATATTTCAGTAAAAATGTAGACCACTAACTGAAATCTGATTTCTAAGACAGTAAATGTCTGGTGATAGCTAGCAAGTAATCTGTCCCAGGATTAATTACATGGAATGCTTTATAGATTCAATTAAAAGTTGTTGCAATAGGAAAGCACTGCTTGTAATTTTCATTATAGTCAGTGTATACCTTTGTAGCCTTAGTACTTTTAAATAAAGTATTTAATTAATGACAGTTCACATCTCTGTGCACAACTGCTAGAGCCAGATTTAAGCTGGAGTAAGATAAAGTATTCTTTATCACTTCTCCAATAGAATTGACCTCTCTCTCTCTCTCTCTCTCCTTTGTACCTCAGCTCTAATGTTTATATACATTTTTACAGCATGTAAAAATACTTTACATTTATTCATCTCCCCACATTTAACCAGATTCATCACTATATCCCAGGATCTAGTACAGTCTGATTCTGAAAGGCACTTGATGATTGTTTAATCGAACTGAAATATGGAAATGTATTTCCCTCATAGGTCTTTAGGATAGAGAAGAGTCTCACTGTACACTGACACTGTAGTTTACTTTAAATGTTGTAGGTTTGGCTTATCAGACTCGATTAAATAAAGCCAAAATGAACCTCAAGAGTAGTGACAGTTGCCAAAGACTAAATTTAATAGCAAATGAGGCCCACTCTAAATGTTAGTAAATAATTATTTGCTATTAAAGAGTTCTTGCTCAGTTTTTTCACATTACAAATTGACAAGTTAGTTAATATAGTTACGATTTTTGCATTGTATTTAGCACTATTGTTATTAACCTGTAGCAGAAAGTATTATGTATGTTATTTTCCTTCTCACAGATATGTTGAAAGTCCTAAGAACTGGGTTTTAGGGTCTTGCCCTATAACTGACATATATTGTGGCTTGACTAGTCACATGATCTCTCTGACCTTGTTTCCTCAACAAATATAGGGCTGCATCTCTTAAATGTTTTTTCTAGTTCAAGCATTCTGATTTCATAAAAGTGCAATTGAAAAATAAGCATTCATAAATAGTTACCCAGAATCATTCTTATTTTATAATCCTTGCTCATTTAAGAAAGTAATACTAATAACAGTGAATTGTGTATTTTAGGTATTGAAACTGTTGGCAGAGATGAGTTCATTTTGTGGTGACATGGAAAAGCTAGAAACCAACTTAAGGAAACTGTTTGACAAGTTATTGGTAAGAACTTTTTCTTTCGCTATGGCAAGTAGATAGCCCCAAAGTCTAATAATGTAGTATTAATTTCTAGATTATGGAAAACCAAATCTTGAAATTCTAGTATTGGACAATAATTCTAGCAAGTGTTATTAGCTGCCCAGCCCACATGTTGTCTACTTTTTTTTCTTAATCTATTTGTAATCTTTGGCATTTCTTCTGTTGATGTTTGCATAAAATATACAAGATTTATATAGTAGGTCTCTCTGCTATTCCTTTATCAAAATACTTTTTATATTAGCTGCAGTTCACCATTCAGGTTGCTACCCAAGACCAAGTAGCTTTAGCAACCAGGAAATGAGATCATTTAAGTTATAGTTGTGGAGAAAATAGACCATCTGATAAAATAATTATCAGTCACCAAATGATTTTCTTGTTGGATATAAGCAGTCATGATGTAGTAATAAGCATTAGGCCCATAGTGTAAATTGAGTCATTTAGCCCTTCCAGACCCGTCATACCTACTAGGGTGTTACAGTACTGGTACTGAGTGTCTTTGGTAGTATTTTGAATGAAAAAAGAGTCAATACTTAGAGTATGGACTAATATTCAAAGATTTCTGGAGTTAACATAATGTAGTTGGTTAAGAGCATCAGCTTTCAAGGTCAAACCTAGATTGACTATTCAGCTTACCAGCTTTTTCACCACAGTAAGGATATCTAAGCTTTGAGAATTCCATCTACATTAAGCATCTAATAAATGTTAGCTACTTTCATTGTCATTAGTTTGTCATAGTAGTAGTAGTAGTAGCTATAACAGGTTAATATGGAGAATTGATAGCCTTGATTATTGATCCAGTAGGTCTAAAAGAGATATCTTACCTAAATTTCTGATGTTGGTAGTTTTTAATGCTGCATGCCTTAAAAACATGCCCTACAATTAGTTGAGTGTACTTTAGAGCAGATTGCAAACATCTCTATATTTTCATCTCTTAGGAATACATGCCTCTTCCTCCAGAAGAAGCAGAAAATGGGGAGAATGCTGGTAATGAAGAACCTAAGCTGCAATTCAGTTATGTGGAATGTTTGTTGTACAGCTTCCACCAATTGGGCCGAAAGCTTCCAGATTTCTTAACAGCCAAACTGAATGCAGAAAAGCTCAAAGATTTTAAAATTAGGTGATGTATGATTGAGTTAGTCCAATCCTTGGCAAAGATAATGCTCCCTCGGTTTTGTTTTCATTTTTACAAAAGCTGTCCTCCCACCCTGCCTCAGTCCAGTGAAACAAAATAGAAACACCACAAAACAGGAATATATGGAAGCATATGACACCTGTGATATAACAAATCTGTGGGGAGAATGAACTCTTTCAAAAATGGACTCTGACTCTCCCCACTTGCTTTATGATTTGGGCAGGTTCCTTAACCTCTCGAACACCCCAGATTTTCCTCAGCTGTAAAATGATATTAGCACCCACCTCAAAGTTGTGAGGATTAAATGAAACAATGAATGAGAAGCTTTAAGCACAGTGCCTGGCACACAGTGGGTACTCAGTAAACTGTAGCTGCTATTGTTATTGATATCTTACCGTGTTACTGGAGGCAACACTGGAGAAAATCATAAATTGTTTACATGAAGACACTTTGTATTGAATCATCTCATCAACAAATTCACATCTTAAATTTTTAAATGTTTGGCCACTGTATCATCTGTTACTGTCCTCCACTCTGGTAAAGCAGAGTTTTAATAATAGGCAGAATATTTTATCAGAAACAGGCAACTTAAATTACTCTATCGGGTAGTGTGGTCTCTGTCACCTTCCACTATGGTGGACTATGGCCAGAGCCAGAAACTGCAGGTGATAGTGCAGCCCATCAACCTTATCTTTACATACTTGCAGAACAGATCTCAGATTCAGGTGTGGCTTTATGAGCAAGTGACTATGTGGATAGAGGGCTGTATCATTGGTTATGATGAGTGTATGAACCTCATATTAGATGATGCAGAAGAGATTCATTCTAAAACAGTCAAGAAAATAACTGGGTCAGATCATGCTAAAAGAAGATAATATTACTCTTCTCCAAAGTGGCTCCAAGTAGAAATGACTAACGAAGTGACTAATGTTGAGAAGGCAATACAATTTGTAATTTTTAGGAGTCCTTTATTGGGAGTATAGTTCTTAAACATTTGTTCATATTGCTTTGATTACCCTTGTATTGTTACCAGATGACAATAAATGCTATGGGATTGTTTTTGTTTTAAATTACTCTAAAAATGAAATAACATAAAGGGTGCCAGGTTGTTAAGCAGAGTGCCTAGTGGTCAGCAGGATGGAGTTAATGGTACTTTTTATTCACATGTTACATGGGAATAAACTTTTAAAAAGAGATTACTCAGGACCCTTTTAGATTTATATAAGTTGATAATATATTCTCAGATCTGCCATTTTCTTTCTTTTTAACTGGACATTGAGGTAAAAACAGGTCAAACTGTCACTTGTTAGCAGATACACACACAGAGGTTGGCTTGTCTAAGTTAAAGTTGAAGTTAAAAAACAAAGTTGAAGCGATGATTTGCTAATTAACATACTGCTTCCTTTAGGCTGCAGTACTTTGCACGAGGCCTGCAGGTTTATATCAGACAACTTCGCTTGGCTCTCCAGGGAAAAACAGGCGAGGCCTTGAAAACAGATGAGGTAGGAACACTGGGTCACATCTCATAAGAAAATTTTTATAATAGCCACCATTTATTACAAATTCAGACTGAATTCATATGTTGAAATATAACATTTGACTTTATTTGAACTGGTCATACAAATCTGTGTTGAGATACACAATGTTAAAACATTGTCTGCATGTTTAGTTATTTGCTAAGTTATGTTTTTGTCATTGTTGAAGTATCTTGAATGTTTCCAGTGTTTATGAACAATGTTACCAAACTTAGATACACACCAGTCTTTCACTAGGGTCTCATTAGCAGCACATGTTAATTTAAAAACTTGATTGATGGTTGTCATTTTTAATTTCACCTTTTTGAAACCCAAATATTAACTTACTATAGGAAAAAAGATTAAATTGCCAATTCTATACCAAACTATTTATGTGTTAGTGTTGGGCTATTTGGTTCCTTGATCTCATCTATTTTGATCAGTCTTCATCCCTATCCTGGTAAAATATTTTAAGTTTTCATGTCTTTCTGTAACTTAAACTGATTATTTTTAAAATAATTCCTTTGTGTATATGATCGGTCCCTTACTCGTTTCTTAAGTTAAATTGTAGATAACACCTTAATGTTCTGTCAAGGGAACATAAAGATTATTTGCTCTTTTTGCCATCTACACTGGTTTAGAGGAAAAATATAGGAATAATGATTCTGAAAGAGATTTGTAATTGCTCTAGTTCTATATGGTAATGGAATATGCATCGTAAAAGTTATTGGAATTTTAATTTTTTTTCTTTTGCAGAACAAGATTAAAGTTGTTGCATTGAAAATAACAAATAACATCAATGTTTTAATCAAGGTAATAAGTCTTCCTTCTTACTCATTCCTCCCAGCAAGCTAAGAAAGTAGTGTTTTAAGTTTTGAACCACTTCAAAATGTGCAAAAGAGCCCTCCCTAACTAGCATAGCTCAGTTGGTTGAGCATTGTTCTGTACACCAAAAGGTTGCTGAATCAGTTCCAGGTTGCGGGTTTGATCCTCAGTTGGGGTGCTTACAAGGAGGCAGCCAGTTCATGTTTCTCTCACGGCACTGTGTCTCTGTCTCTCTCCCTCTCTCTCTCTGTAAAAATCAATAAAAAACAAATATATATACATATATATATACTTCTAGTGTGCAAAAGAAATACTTGTTGACTTTGTTTATTAAAGTTGATAAATATTGATATTTTATCCTGGAATTTGACGTCACATTTAGAAAAAACTTAGCTTCAGTTTCTTAAGTGTTGTGCACAAAATGACATAAACACGTAATAGGTGTAAGTTTTAACAAAATTGTCCTTGTTTGCTTTTTTCTTGCAGCTTTTTTTAGGTCCTTAGTCACTAGCACAAGAACAAGAAAGATAAATTAAAGCTTTCTTTCCTGAAATTAATCATTAAGATGTCTCCCTATTTCTTACCCTCGCCACCACTCCCCACACCATTAAATAAATAGAAATCTTGTTTAATTTTGTCTCTTCAGGATCTCTTCCACATTCCTCCTTCTTATAAGAGCACAGTAACATTATCCTGGAAACCTGTACAGAAGGTTGAAATCGGGTAAGAAATGTATTTAAAAGGGATTTCAGTGTTCTAATATTTGTGATTTGTAAATATGAAAAGCAATTCAGATGTTACACTTACTGTACAAAATGGTACATTATTAAATGATTCTTAAGATGTTAAGACATGACTATTAGAAGCATGACCTAAAATATAAAATGTTAACTGGTGGAATACAACCCTGAACTTTCCAGCCTTGTTTGTGCTCCTGTGGCGTAACTAGACTTTCTGACAAGTTTTGTAAAATGGGTCATTTGCATATAGTCTTTGAAGCTACGTATTCTAGATTATTTTAAAGCCCTGTAAATGCTCTTTGACAATGTCTACATAACTAAGGCACAGTTAATTTGACATCAGAATTTTTTTTTTTCTGATGTGACTATCATCTTCAGAATATCTTTTATAACTGATACGCTAAATTACAAGTGCCTCTGGTTTAATAGAATTTTGTCACTTTTTTTTTTTTTTTTTTTTAACTATATAGGCAAAAGAGAGCCACTGAAGATACATCTTCCGGTTCACCACCCAAGAAATCTCCAGCAGGACCAAAAAGGGATGCCAGGCAGATTTATAATCCTCCTAGTGGAAAATACAGCAGCAATTTGGGCAACTTTAATTATGGTGAGCGTTTCCGTTTGGGTACAAGCAATGTGAGAGATTAAGTGGAAGTTGTGTTGTACTTGATTTTCATTATCAATTATACATAGTATCATAGATCTTTTCCATGATGTTTTTGAGTTAGCTTGGGGAACTAGAGCTATTGGGGAAACAACTGATCCCATTCTTTTCTGACCCACTCTGCGGGCTCACTGAACTGAGCGTGCAACAGTAGGCATTTTAAAAAAGAAAAATATGCCTCTTGTATTCTGAGGAGCCAACAGAAAAAAAAGAAGTTGGCATGAACCTTCATTCCTGGTTTTCCCTGTGCTAGCTTCAGGGTAAGACATTTTGTGCATTATCCCTCAGGGATAGAGCTATAGCTTCTGGCAGATGTGGTATTAATGAGCCTCCCTAGACCTTGTCAGCCTACTGCTACTTGTCCTCCCATCTTCTGTACTATTTCAAAAGGAGAGGTCATAGAAATGAAATCAGATGTTAAAGCATCATCTGGCAAGGGAGATGTGTCCTACTGTGGTTTCTGTTGCCCAGAGTGCAATCTTCCTGTCAGCTTCGGCCACTAGAGGCAGGAGAGCTTCCCAGTAATCCATTCTCTCCCAGGGCTATTGAATGAGAAGTAAAGATTGTTTCTCAGTGACTATACCCTCATAGATCCTTTTAAAGAAGATGGATGAAAATATCACTGACTGAGCAAATCTTTACTACAAAGTTTAATGATGCTAGCAATCAAACATGCTTGTGATTGGCCTTGATTACCAATCAAATTAATTCTGCAGAACAGGTTTCCCCACTATCCAAAAGTAGAGCGTTCCAACAAACCTTTTATAAGTAGAAATGGTGTGAAATGAAGCAAGTATCTTTAATTTATACGGAATTTTTTTTTAGCATTCCCAGACCCAAAACATAAAATAATGCTAACATATAGTAAAAAGAGGAATGATGTGATAAATACATACCATGCTTTACATTCATCAGTCCACTTCAGCAATATACTTTGTTACTGGATGCCAACTAAAAGATCACTTTGATAACTAGCAGAACCAATAGTAACCGGCAGCTTTCAAGATTCTTTCTGTGTATTAGTACAGAGGCAGATTCAACACACAGTGTCTTTATTTCATTCAGCATGATCAAAACACTTAGTTACATCCAGTTTTACACTAAACATAGCACTTTTACAAAGTCTCTTAGGCTTTCTGATACTTTAGGACATATCTTGTTCAGGTAGGCACAAAGTCAAGTTAAAACATTGTTCAAAAGCGATGGCAGCTTGATACTGAGATGCTGAGTGAGGGTAGTTCCTAGGGAAGGAACCACTCTCACTATTCATTACAGAACAAACACTGAATACTATTTTCGCTTTTTGCCTTTTTTCTTTGAGGGAACTTTAGTATGGGAAAGATCACTGAACTCTTTTACTTATTATAATAATATAAAATGTACATTCCAGCCTATTTTCTTACCTGAAAAATAAGGATAACACCAAGATCTTAAAAGCTTCAAATAAGAATATTTGTGAAAGCATTTTATAAACAGGATTCTGTGTTACTTGTACCAAATGTTGTCCTCTGTCACTTGTGTGATTTAGTGTCATGTCTTAAAACCATTATCTCAGATACTATTTTCATTTGATTTAATGAAAGTAATCAAGAACTGCCCTGGCCCGTTTGGCTCAGAGGTTAGAGCGTAGGCCTGTGGTCCGGAGAGACCCAGGTTCGGTTCCTGCTAAGGGCACGTACTTCGGTTGCAGTTTGTCCCCGGCCCTGGTTGGTCGTGTGAGTGGCAGCCACTCGATGTGTCCCTTCACGTCGATGTTTCTCTCTCTCTCCCTTCCTCTCTCTCCCTCCCACTCTATCTGTACAAAAAAAAAAAAAAAAATGGAAAAATATCCTTGGGTGAGGATAAAATAAAATAAAATAAAATAAAAATCACAGTCTTTAAAAAAACATAAATTATAAAAAAAAAAAAAAGCCCTGGCCAGTTTGGCTCAGCGGTTGGAGCGTTGGCCTGTGGTCCTGAGAGACCCGGGTTCAGTTCCCGCTAGGGGCGGGTACCTCAGTTGCAGTTTGTCCCCGGCCCTGGTCGGTTGTGCGGGTGGCAACCACTCGATGTGTTCCTTTCACATCGATGTTTCTCTCTCTCCCTCTGTTCCTCTCTCTCCCTCTGTTCCTCTCTCTCCCTCCCACTCTACCTGAACAAAAAATGGAAAAATGTCCTCGGGTGAGGATTAAAAAAAAAGAAAGTAATCAAGAACTATGGCCAATACATAGAGAGTTGTATTACTTCACTTGGGCAAGTCACTTACTTATGAGTTTCCATGAGGACTCTGCCCTGTACCTGATAGTGAGAATCAGATGATAATGCATGTGAAAAATTCAAAAGCTTAGGTTGTATGCGATATTTTTTAAACTATCAACGTGAAAAAAGCAGTTTTACCCAAGACAAAAATCCAGGGTGGCAAACAAGCATGCCTGTTCTTTTGTGTCTAGTATTACAGTACTTTAATATTTCTGTAGGGGTCAACTAAGGGTGCTTGTCATAAATTGAATTACAAAGCAAACTCAACTGATTCTTCTAGTTAGAAGACAGGAGTAAAATTTCTTCTAGTTTTTATATTTGGAAGTTGAATGTTACCTACTTATGCACATTCTTACAGTACTACGGATGAGAACTGACAGGTCTATCTACCTCACAATTTTTCCACCTTTTTTATGCCTGTCCTTGGAGGACTGACAGCATGCCAGGAAGACAGGAGAAGCATGTTGCATTATTTTTCTGGGATGTCAGTGCTGCCTCAAAATTTGAGAGGGAAAAATGTTTTGTGTGGTTTTTAAGAATAGATTTTGTTACCCACATTTAGCAAAATATCATAATCCCACTTTTCTCTGTCAGTCAAGCTCATGTTTTGGTTCATTTTTCCAGAGAAAACTAAATGGTTTTTTTTTAACATGTTTTTATATATGTATGTATGTATGTATATAAAATAATCTTTTGGGATTTACTTTTTTCCTTTATTGATTTGAGAGAGAGAGAGAACATCAATTGGCCTCCTCCTGCCTGCCCCCCACTGGGGATTTGGCCTACAACCTGGGCATGTGTCCTGACCTCTTGGTGCACAGGTCGATGCTCAACCATTGATCCATACCAGATGGGCTTAACATGTTTTTATTGATTTTTTTTTTTTTAGAGACAGAGGAAGGAAGAGAGAGATTGAAACATTGGTATGAGAGTGATACATTGATCAGTTGCCTCCTGCACGGCCCCCCAGTGGGGATGGAGCCTGCAACCTGGGCATGTGCCTTGACCAGGAATCAAACCAGGACCTCTCAGTCCATGGGACGACGCTCAGTCCACTGAGCCATACCAGCCAGACTAGATGGGTTTTTTTTTAAAAAGTCATGTACACTGAGGGGTTAGATTTATTCCTTTGTGCTATTAGGGAACCAGGTAGTGTTAACATTACCGCCCACCCTATTACAGTGAACAGGTCTATTGTAAAGAAAATAAATTGTACTAGTGTTATGGGCCATGGGCCTGAACTTGTTCACCATAAAGGAGGCAGAATTTGTGATTGTTCTTTAAGTCCATGCAGGCATATTTAGACTTTTTTCCTAATCCAAGTTTATAACTTTACTGACACATGTCTCTCTTATTTACTTTATGAACATAGTATTGGTTCCCACAACTGAGTTCAGCTTCCTTTGTGCATTTTTAATCAAATCATTTATATACACATACCCATGTTTAGTTTTCCTTCCTTTAAACAAAGTTCCCCAGTAACCCAGGAGCACTAAACATTCTGTATTTTATGACTTATGTCCTTTACCATTTACCTTTTTAGAATATAAAAATAATTTTTAAAGCATAATTTTAACTGGTAGTAGTGGTTTTTTAAGTTAACTTGAAACCACTGGGGAAAAATCATGGAAGTGCAGAATGGTCTCTCACAGTGAAGACCTTCAAAAAGAAAATTTGGTGATAGGGGGAAATGTGCAGGCATGTGCAATAGATGAGGCCAAATCGTAGTAAAAAATGCAGAGTTATAGCCCACATAAAGGTTGTGACACTACCTAAATGTACCCATGGTCATTGCATCTATCACTGAGAACATCTTGCCCTCAGACCACCTCTAATATTGTGAATGTGTTCACTGAGGTAATAAACATGGTAGTTTCATTTAAATGGTCTGTGTACCAATGAAGTTAGAAAAAAAATGTGTCATGACATGAGAGGTGAATTTGAATCAAATCCCATTCTATTAAACAGATAAATGTTGGCTAAGATGGAGAAAGATCTAGTTAGTTTTCTAACTCAGAATTTCTGGAGGAAAAAATAATAATAATAATGTCAAAACATCGCCCAAATAAGGTACTGTATTTCTAGCCATAATGGCAAAAAAAAAAAATCTATCGCAATACTGACTTAATAGGAACTTTTAAAGTATCCAACCTTATGGATCCAAAAATGCCAACACTGGGTTCTTTTTATTGCTCCTAATAAGATTGCTTCAATGAGGAAGTTCAAAAGTTCAATGAAGAGATTTAATCTCTGGAACTAAAAGTTTCTCTGGAACTATAAAAGAGACTCACCAATCAAAGACTTACTGTACCATATGACACAGTGACTTGATTTTTCAGCAGATGTGCTTAATTTACAATCAGTAACCCAAACCCTGTATATATACATATCATCACCTTTTGCAGTGTCTCTGAGCAGTTCACGTAGCTGGTAGTGAGAAAAGCTGTCGGCATCTGTATCTACATTTTTCTGAGTTTTGGTGCTTGAAATATTATGAGCAAAACAAATTGCCTATCCATTGCAATGGAAAGGAAAATAAGGTTAGTCTGGCCTACTGTTTCAAAAATGATCATTGATAGTTTAAGATGTTTTGCATTTATGTCACCAACTTTGGAAAGCCAGTGGCTTTTCTGTTAAGTATAGAAATTGTTATAGTTTCATTAATTATCTTTAGTAGTGATAGGCACCAAAATAAAGAGCTAATAAATAGTTATAACATTATGACCTTGAAACATCTTTGTCAATGGGATACATTTAGTTGAGTACCTACTATGACTATCTTGCACCTTGTCATATGTTCTTTGATATATATGTTGCCCTGGTTTTATGTACAGATTGAATTTGTGGATAGTGTGGATGGTGTAGCCTACTGCTACATTCAGAGCTCGGAGCTTCATTTGCCGTACCATGAAGTCATGAGCAAGACCTAAACCCTTGTTCGCTTTTTCGTAGAGCAGAGAGGAGCCTTCAGGGGAAGTAGAGGTGGCCGAGGTTGGGGAGCACGAGGAAATCGTAGTCGAGGAAGACTCTACTGAATAAAACATCACATTCTTCAGCATTGTCATGAGCTTATATACTTAAATTCTACTACTCATTGGATTGCCGGGGATGTCCCTTTAAAAGGACTGCTGCCTTCAGCTAAAACTTAATGTTCTTTATACCTTTGTATGTATGATCTACTTTTGTAACAGACCATGGTTGTGTCCAAGGTAAAACCACAGCGATATTTTTGGATGCTTTGTGAGCAATCTTGTTTTTGCAATATCATCATTATTCAGACTTCATATTGTGAATCTTTTACTTTTAAACATCTTAATAATTTGTTGAGAGCTATTCAAGTCTAAAATATAATGAAATTCAGTCTATTTCTGATAACTGGTAAAGATCATCAGTTTTGAAAGATTACTGATTTTCTTCTCCCCTCTGTCCTTTCTTTTCCCCCAATATATGGAGAAGAGTAATGGTCAATCTTAACATTTTGTTTTCATTGTTTTTGTAATAAAGCTGCTAGGCAATGGTTCAGCATTCCTACATAGTATCCTAAGAGCAAAATATTTATCAGCCTTCTTAAAATGTAGAAATACTACATTTTTAGGAGAAAGTAAGTTGCTTTGCACTGCTTACTTAACTCTTCTCCATATGTTGATATAAACTTTTAAATCTGGGATCTTACTATCTGAATAGAAATGTGTATGTATAATATACATACATACATAAGCGTATGTATGTGTGTGTGTATATATATATATATGCATGCTGTGAAACTTGACTACA